ATTTTGTAAACAATGTAGTATTAGTGCGATTAATAGTATTCCTATTAAAATTAAAAAACTTTGGAGAGCAATTGTTATGGGGAATAAAACAGAAAAAAGTATACTACTATTAGCATCTACATTGTATGAGGTGTGTAAGGGATATAAAGATACTTTAATGTACATAAGATGGTTTGAGGGGAGGGTAGCTCAGTGGTACAGTGCTGCCTACTTGCTTAGCATATGCAAAGCCAGGGTTTTATCTCCTGCATTGCAAAATAAGTAAGTGTATAAATAAATGAACAGATGTATGTAGGTAACCTGCAGATATTAAACCATTTTATATAAGGGACTTGAGCATTCACATATTTTTAATATTGGAGAGTGCTAGAACCAATCCAGTATGGTTACTAAGGGACTATATAAGCCCCATGAAGATAGGATATATATACAATTGTGAATTGTTTCTTCATCCGGCAAATGCTTATTGAGCTGCTACTAAATATAACACAATTTACAATTTTGAGGCCACAGTAAATCTATTGTGATTTAAAACAATTTCAACATACATGGACTTTGTATGTAGAGGATGACTTTCTGTAAAAGGACTTAGCAGTTTGTGATTCTTAGATCCTTCCATGTATTTGTCACTGTCATCTAACTGTCCCTTAGCATCCTGACTCAGCATATAATGGACAAACTCAGTGCACAGATGAATTCTCAGGTATCTGCATATTCTATAGTTTTTTTTACTGAGATATTTTAAGATACCAATTAAATAACACCCAGAACTTTTAGAATAATACTACCAGTAATGAAACCTCATTATTATAAGTCTAAGATTTGTTAAATACAAGGCACATTCATTAAGTCAGTGGTACAATGAGCAGAAGTGTAACAATTATATACTACTATGAAGTTATAAAGTGTGTCTATGAGAACATTGCACTGATAGACAAAAGAACAACCTGGGACAGTTCCTCATTTATGTAGTTTACCAACACGAGCAATTGCTTTATCACATAGTTGAGACTCTTGTTTTTCATTGTGTGGCCATGATAATGCATATTCCATTAAATTTATAGGTCAGAATAATTTATAGTACAAATAAGGTAAGTAGACATGAAAATACTCCATAGATTGGTATGTTACAGAGGTAGACTTTCACCCAAGGTATACACTAACAGTGAATGTTAAAAACTTATTTTGAAAAAC